GCTGGTAACACCGGTAGCAGCAGCGAGAGCACCCACTTGAGCACCCACACATCGGTGCCCTTGTTAAAAGATGCTGCAGTAGTCCGGATCAACAGTTTCGGATACCTTCAATGCTAGACTGTTTCTGGCAGGAGGATCGCGGAGTTTTGACTCCGCCTGGACCGTCTGACGTGTGTCGACGTCCTCGCCACGCTGGGGAAACGTAACTCCTGAAACAACTGTGCACTCGGGCGAGGTGAGCTCAAAGTTGAGGTTAACCGACGATGCAAAGTCAAAGTACACGTCGGCCACCGGACCCCAATCGAGGTCGAGCCGCCCGTACATGGCTGAGATCTGAAGCGCGTTGACGCCGATCATCGCCGCCACAAACTTGTACCGCAAGCTCTCGGCGAGCGAAAAGACATACAGCGCACCGGTGATGGCGAGGGCGGCAAGGACAACAAGGGCAGCGACGATACCGTTCTTGCTCGTATCGCACTTGCGGCAGCTCCCACCAAGCCGATAGTACCCGTGGACACACTTGGCGCACAGCCGGGCGGTGTATCCCGGCGCGCATCGGCCGTTGCCGAGGCAAGCGCCCGTCGTCGGGCACCGCACAAACGCGCCGCTGTCAGGAAAGTAGCCCGGCGCCGCCCGCGGTTTGGACAGCACGCCATCGCACAAAGCCCCGACTGGACACGGCGCACATGGCACATTGGGCTGACCGCTCGGCGACCAAGTGCCAGCGACGCACACGCACGTCCCAGCCGTGATGTTGATGCTCCCTGTCGAGACGACGGTGTTCATCGGGCACGCGCATTCGAGAACCTCGATTCCGTTGGCCACACCCGTGGACCCTGCCCCAGTCAGACAGCTGATAAGTGTGATTGTGCCATCAAGCGCGATGCTGGGCGTACCAGCCGCCGCCAGAGTGTACTGCACCTCGATGGGCAGCGCGTCTGCAACGTCCATCTTGGCTTGGACCCGGATCTCAGGCGGAAGTGCGAGCGCCGACGCTAGCGGCGCCTCGGGCACACCCACGCCCACCACATCGTCCGAGGCCAACCCGAGAACAAGCTCTTGCGCGTGCTCGACATGGGTGCGACCCATCGTGTCGATGCCGCGGACCACGCCGCCAAAGGTGCGCGAAGACTCGAGCGAGGCTGGCGGAGGTGTGACCCACTCGATGCGCGCGAGCGGTCCACCGATGGTGGCACCAGCAAGCGCAGTCGCAAAGTCGGCGTCGCTCACCCGCACCCACGTGAGCTCAGCTGCCGAGGCATAGCCGGCCGCCACGCCATCCGCGGTGCAGAGCAGGACGTCGGATCGAGCATCACTCGTCTCGTCGCGGTTGTCGCGGACAGCCGATGTTGGACCAGCGACGGCGACCGGCGCACCACAGGCGAGGATGCCGGCGGCCTTGGCCTGGGCCACGTTGTGAGTCACGTTCGAGTTGGTCAGCACAATGGTAGCGGCGCGCCCATCCGCTGGTGCTAGCGCTGCGATCGCGCCTGTGGCGATGGGAAGCTGTGCCGAGGCTTCAGCGGCGTTGACGCGCGAGACAAGCTCGGTTGCAACGGCTGCAACACCACCGCCAAACCGGGCGGTGTTGCGAGTCACAACGGTGTCGACCAGCGACACAGCGCTTCCATCACGCACAAGCAGGCCGCCGCCGGGGCAGCTGCTCGCCATGTTGTCGCGGACGCGCGATCGGGTCAGCGATGCCGACGAGAACTCATCAACGGTCAAGCCGCCGCCGCCGAGACCAGTTGCAGTGTTGGCACTCATGACCGAGTCGGTCATCACCAGGCTTGCACCCTGAACAATGGCAACGGCGCCGCCCTGAACCGCAATCGACTTGGTGACCGTGGACGCAGTGGCGGTGACGGTCGTGCCGGCTGCGCGGGCGTAGATCGAGCCGCCGGTGGAAAACGCCGTGTTGTCGCTCAGCACCGCGCGGTCAAGCACGAGCGACGCACCCTCGCCGACAAGCACAGCGCCTCCGATGCCGACGTCGAGGATGGGCTTGGGCGAGGCGACAGGAGTGCTCGTACTGTGGGTGATGCTGGAGTTCTTGAGAGTGAGAGAGGCGCCAGCGCCTTCGACGCGGATGCCTGGCGCGCCATAGATGCTGCCGTCGGTGGCGGCCATGCGGGTGATGGCGATGTCCTCGAGAACGAGGCTCGAGTCGAGGACTGGGGTGATGGTATTGGGCATGACACGGAAGAGAACAGCGCCGTTGTCACCGTCAGCGCAATCAAAGGTAACGGTACCTGGGATCTCCGCGCGCAAGTAGACAGGGCGTACGACTTGGAGGTGCGACTCGCTGCGGCACTGGTAGGAGCCCGGCGGAAGGAGAAGGACGTTGTCGGAGCAGACCTGGATGCGTGCGATGTTGGCGACGAGGCAGGCAAACGACGTCGGACCGTACTCGCAGCCCGGAAGAGCGGCCTGGTAGGCCAGCGTCCGCCCGGAGTAGGCAAACAAAGCGCTACGGTAGGCCATGGAGAGAAATGATAGATTGGGATGGTCTGGCCAGACAATGTCAAGGCTGCCATCGGCATCAAAGTCTCCAACAACCATACCCCTGGTGTCGTCACCGTCTGAGACGACGATGGTCTCGCCGAGGTCGACGAGAAAAGGAGATGTCGAGATGGCGATGCGCAGAGCGGAAAAATTTGGCATGAACACAACAGCAATGCGGCCGTCGTAAAGATATGTCATCTCCACCGCCTGAGAGACTGAAGCGAGAGAGAGAATGATGATTGGCGCCGAAAAGCCGCCCGTGCCATCGTTGAGGCGGACGGTGAAGTCGTTATCGGACTGATAAAAGATGTCATCCAGGTCATCGTTGTTGGCACGGACAGTTGAGATACGATGAAAACAGCATACCGTCTCCATTGGTGCATATTCGTTGTAGGTAATGTTGCCAACCCACTTGAGGACTCCGATGTCCCGGAAGCCTCCGCCGGAAGCGATCAGGTCGCGGCCACCGTCGCCATCGATGTCAATGATGGCAACCGGCTGAAGTGAAAATGGATACCCGGCAGGTACTGAAAGTGGAATGGGGACAGAGGTGGCGACAAAGTGACCTCCACCTAACCCAAAGAAGACTATGGGAGCGGCTGTGTCCAGCACTAGGAGATCGTTGTGCCCGTCACTGTCAATGTCGAGAAACTCTAAGGTAAACATGTTGTTTTCCGACGAGATGATTCGGTGTTGCCAGGTCTGACCCACACCATCCGCGTTGATGTCGGCGGCAAGGTTACCGTCAGCGAATGACGCTCTAGAGATAACGTCCATGTCGCCATCGTTGTCAACATCAACAACAAGAAGCACAACATTGGTGACTTGGTTGATGACGGTAACGCTACCCAGTTGACCCTGCAGTGCAGTTGTCCTGACCCAGAATGTGGTAGCACCTTGAAAGCCTGGAACAGTGGCGCCTACGATGAGATCGGCCAGGCCGTCACCATCGATATCTCCGGGCTTGAGGTTGTTGAAGTTGCTGATCCCACTGGGATCGGTAACCTCTTGCGTGTTCAAGGTCCACGTGGTGTCGTCGAAATACGGCGTTGATGGAAAACTGAGCTTGGAAACGGAAGTGCCAATGAGATAAATGTCGTGCGGGCCAGCCGTGTAGACGTTGCCGACCAGGACAGAACTCGATTCGTGTGTGATGGTGCGCTGGCGGACAAGACTGTCTTTGGCGCCAGTGTTTTCCATCCAGACCAACGAGCCTCCAGCGGTAGCAGCCAAAAGATCAAGGTCACCGTCCCGATCGGCATCAACTGGTGTGAGGTCAGTGAGCCCAAACACTTCCCGTACAGAAACAATGCCGATGATGCCGTCCAGGTACGTGATCTTCATCACGCTGTTGTCGAGGACAAAGTAGTACTCGGGCTTGGCGTCGTTGTCAAGGTCGGCAAGGGTGCTGGGCGGTGCATCGAGGACGGCGACCGAGTGCAGCAGAGTCGGCTGACCTGCAAGCATGAGCCCGTCGCGCAAGATGTAGGCGACGAAAGTACCAGTATACCCGACAATGTCAAGATCGCCATCGTTGTCGAGATCCAGAAAATGGACGGCGCCGTCGCCAGTCGACTGGCCTCGGCCGAACGGCGCATCGCCACTCGCGGTGAACGATCCCAAACCGTCGTTGACGTACATCGTGGTCTTAGTAGAAGTAACTACAGCAATGTCGTCAACGCCGTCTCCATTCCAGTCGACCTTGCGCAGAAAGTCATCCTGTGCCGCAGTGGGCAGGAGGACGGCGGGTCCGTGAAAGCCGCCGACTTTGTCGTTGATAGCAGCGTACGCGCTGGTGCCGACGACAAAGACAATGTCCAGGAAGCCATCGGCGTTAATGTCAGGTGCAATGATATGGCCGACGGTGCCAATAGCCGAAGCTGCCACTATGGACGACCAAGCGCCCGCGTGCGAGTGCATCCAGACGGTTGATCCGTCAGCAGCTAGGACCTCGTCGATGCCGTTGCCGTCCATGTCAGCAATGACGCGGGCGGTGATGGGAAAGCCAGCATCTGGAACCATCGGCGTGTTGCCTTCAGTATCGCACTGCGGGACTGCCATGACTTCAGCGATCGTTGCTGCTCCCACTGGTCCAGCGGCGAGGGCAACGCAAAAAAGAACCAGTGCCACAAATGCGGCCGAATGGCCGCCGCGTTGGCTCCACGTGACCATCCTGGCAACTGACACATGGAAGGATGTAGTGAGGTGGGGAAGGGGAAGGGAGTGGGAATGGAGAGAAGGGGAAGGAATGGAGGGGGGAGGGGGGGGGGGGGGAGGGGGGAGGGGCGTACATGTATGTGTGGTCGAGAGAAGTGAATGGCGGTGTGCGCGTGGTTTGGGGGAGGGGGGGGGAGGGGAAGGGGAGCTGACCGAAGGCCTTTTTTTTGGAGGAAAGGGGTTCTTGGACGAAGGACGAATTTTTTGGTTTCGAGCGAAATGGGGAAATTGGCGGCAACAGAGGCGAGGAAGGAGGGGATGGGAAGTATGTTCATTCACTAGCCCTGCATGCGACCCTTGACCATGGACTTGAAAGCTTCGTTGACGACGGTCTGGGTCCGCGAGCGCAGCCAGTGGTCGCGGGTGGCCTGTGTGATGTCCATACGGGAGGCGATGCCATCCATGATCTCCTTGGGGTTTGTGCCGCGGCCGGCCTTGACGTGGATGTTGAGCTCGGGGACCTCGTTGTCGAACGAGTAGATGGAGATGATACCGTACTCGCACCAGCGGGTGCAGCAGCACATGCATCGCTTCTGAAGCTTGATGTCGTAGGCCCAGTCGATAAAGACGGAGGAGAACTTGGAGTAGCAGCACGACTTGTTCTCGAGGCGGATGTGCGAGTTGTTGACCGAGAACCGCTCGACCGGCTCGCAGCAGGAGCAGCATGCCCACGAGGAGCACGGGCAGCCGCGGCCGTAGCAGCAAGAGAGGTACTCACCCGAGAAGAGGGCGTCGGTGTCCTGCTCAAAGTGCTCAACGTTGCGGTCGGACTTGATGATCTCCAGCACCTCGGGGTCGCAGTTGGTGGCGCAGTACTCGCGGAGGCGGAGGAAAATAGGGATGGCGTTGTCGACCTTGAGGCGCAGCATGGGAGTAGTCGGGTCGTGCGAGGCGAGGGTGATGATGCCGCGTCCACGACGCCGGTGGATGCAGTTCTGAAAAAGGCCCACGTCGAGGACGTTGTCGGTCTCCAGCGTGTCGATGTGCCGCCCGCAGCAGCGCCACGACGAGACACGGACGGTCCGTGAGCCGATGCGGTACTTGGACCAATTGAAGCGACCGGCACCGTCGCCTTCAAAAAACACGTACTCGTCTGAGAGCGCCGACTCGTCGTTGTCCGACTCGAGCCCCCACTCGACGCTGGTCTTTTTGTTGAGCTTGCTCGACTTGCCCTGGCCTCGCTTCGAGCTCGTCCGCCCGCGGGCGGCCATCGAACCGGCTGCGGCGCCGACTGCTGCGCCACCGAGCACCGCAGCGCCAAGCGGCGGCTCGTGTGGGTCGTCCGAGCTGGTCACAAACGAGTACACTGCACCATCAACCGGGTCCGACGCCGGATCCGACGTCGGCTGCGGCGGCGGGCTGGCGGGGGGGTAGGCGTCGTTGTTAGGAGCGGCAGAGACGTTGACGTCGTCCTTGTTCCCGTCCTCGTCCTCGTCAAAGAACGAGTCGTCCGAGTAGCCGTCGCTCTCGCGCTGCGGGCGGGCATTGGCCTCGGCCGCCAGCTGATCGAGCTCGACATCGTCGAGCCCAAGGGTGGTCGGCGCGCCAAACCCGTCGTCCTCGACCTGTTCTGAGGCCGACGACAGGGAAGCAGTCCAAGCCGAGGCAGAGCCTGACGAATGAACACGATCAACGGCAACAAACTCTGAGTCGACCTCTGAGCAGTCAAAGTAGTCGTCGACGACCTCGACAACGAGCTCGTCTTCACCATCATCGATCATCGAGTCGGCAACGCCCTTGGAAGCAGTCAGCCAAGAATCCGTCATCTGGTCTTGTCAGCGTGTATCAGCGTGTGTGTGTGTGTGTGTGTGTGGACGATATTCTTAGGAGTGAAAAAACAAGCGCTATTTTCTCAGCCGTTCCAAAGTGCCCGACACGAAAAAAACCCAACCGAGACAGAGCCAGCAGCAGCAACAGCAGTATCCGTTGTCAGCAGCGACAGAGAGGGTGAGAGGGAGGGGAGGGAGGGGGACAGGAAGCGGGAGGTGTGTCCGGGTAGGGGGGGGAGGCGTGGAAGGTGTGGTGGATGGAAGGGGAGGAGGGAAGAGGGTGGGTTGGTGTGTGTGCGCGCGTGTGTGTGTGTGTGAGTGGTGTGAGGTGGTCTGAATGGCTTTAGCTATGGTGGCCAGTACGGTACCGGAGGTGGGGTGTTGGCGGGGTGTTGGTGGCGGAGCGATGGGAGCCAGAAACCGAGGCGGAAAGGCGGAGGGGGGGGGGGGG